ATGATAAGAGGGAAGCAAAAAACTCATTTGAAATTAATAAAAGGTCTTAACAACATAAAAAATTACTTACAAAACTAAAGTGTTGATAGACACAATATATTCCAGTTCTTTGGTCCAAGGATTTGTGAAACTAAACCACTGGCTTTTTAAAGTTACAAAAGAGCCATCTTTCGCTCTGAATTTGTATGAATCTGTAAATATTTTCTCTTTACTCTGTAGAACTTAACAAGAAAAGATAATAATCAGCATAACAGTCTACCACTATATAAATCAAACTTTTGAAGATGAATTCAAGTTTTGGATTTCACAGGAATGAGAAATTAAGAGTTGAAGTTGCAATTAAAAAATACCAAAACCTTACCCCACTCAATGCATACCTGCTTTGTGCTTGTCAGTCAAATTACTATGGTCATCTTGATGAAAATATTCGTAACAAGAAGTTCCCAAAAGTTCCTGAGGCAGATATCCTAAAATTGCTGTTGCCCTAGTTTTAAAATTAAAAAGAAACTTCAGAATTTGTGAAAAAATTTACTTCCAGATTAGTGTCGGTCCATATGTGGTCAGGATAGCAGGCAAGTGGACTGAGGGATGAGTGAGTCATGTGCATCACTGGCTCCCTTTGACTGCCCAAGACCCAAACCAGAGCTGCAAAAAAGAATTGACATCCAGGCATGAGGCTACCTCAGAGGACACCCACCCAATCTAGAGTATGCTTTCTCTACCATTCACCAATAAAACTGTGGCCACAGACCATGCCCAGCTTCGGCACCATTTTGGCTTGAACAAATTTACCGATATATCCATATTGTTATTTCATTTCAACTTTATTTCCTGTTCTGAAGCCTTAAAAAAAATCCAGCAGTGCTGAGTCACATTTTAATAGTCTTAAATATCCCACTGAACTCTAATCATTATGGCATATAACTGTTACCTTTGATCCACATAGACGAATTTTCCATTCATTGCAAAACGGGTTATAAATTCAGTTGGTTTCACTTTAATCATTTCTCCACTGTTCTGTGGGACAATATACGGATGTAATCTTCCAATGGCAATAAGGCAGGTAAAATTACTGTCTTTCTGACTGTCCTTTTCTTCTTCCATTCCGATGATATTTGGAGGCCAGCTTCTCAAGTAACCCGTACAGTGGATAGTACAGAATTTTCTATGATCTAATTCAAAAGTTTTTAAAAAAGAAAATTTGTTAATTATATCTCAATAAAACTGGAAAAAGATAAAGAATTTTTAAAAAGCATTTGAATCATGAATTCTTAAATTTCTTACATTAACATTTATGGTAGTTATAATTGTGCTATGACATGTTCTTTAAACATGAAAGGGAAATAGCATTTCATTTAAAAAATCATTGGTTGTGTTTATTTTATTCTTAATGAGTTATTTTTCTCAGGAACTAAACTATATGTATTACATCAAGTAAACAGATTGCTTTAATCTAGGTTTAAATAGATCTATAACTACTTAATTATTATAAGTCAATTTTTAAAAATATAGTAATTTATATCTATTAGAAAAAGTTAAACTTCATGCTCTCTTGCTCTTAGCCACAAAGAAATTGTTTTCAGCTTATTAAAATTTTGATATACTATTATTTATATTCAAAAGTTTAAAGGACAATTATGCATACATTCTTAAATTTCTTATGTTAGTACATAATGGTTTATAGATAAATTACAGAAACATTTTAGAGAACACTGGAGAAATTTATAATAAAAGGTATTATAGAAACAAAATGACTCAAATTTCACTTTTCAGAAAAATCCCAAGCAATTAACTCATAGGAAAAAGCTTGTCAAACAGGTCCAAGCAGAATAATAAAAAAATTGGAAATAATCCATATGCTCAAATATCAATAATTATATAAAAACTCAAAATTTGGCATAACTATAACCATTATAACAAAGTTATATGTGTATCAATAAATGCTTAAGAAAACAATAAAATGCAACCCAAGCTTAAAAGGCGGCAGTTTACAGATTATGGCAATCCACCCAAAAAGCGATTTAAAGGTTAAAATGAAGGGAAAAAGGGCCAGTAAAAATTACTTAAAACCGTTGTTTGTAAAGATTTAGAAAAGACCAGAACAGTCACTGTTTTAAATCGGCACTATTTGGTAAAACCGTTACTACAAATATTCTTTTAAAAACATTTTTTAATAGATGATGATATAAGCTATCTTATAAAATAGCAATAGTAATAGCAGAGATTTATAGAACACTTTATGTGCTATGCTCTAAATGCTTTTTTTAAATTAATTTATTTTTATGGTGAATTGGTTAATGAAATCCAGTAAGTTTCAGCTGTACATTTTAACAGTAAGGCATATATATATTTACATTGTGTTCTTTAAGTATATAATTCATTTAATCTGCTTAATAGTCCTGTGAGATGTTCTAGTGTTACCCCCATGGTGTTAGGAAACTGAGAGTTAATGCCAAGGTTATAGCGGGGAAGGGTGGAACCAACGTTTAGATCCAGACAGGCTGGCTCCAGAGCCTCCCTTTCTGAACCACTAACGCCCTGCTATTTGATGATAGTGAGTGCTCTGTCACTGAAGGTGTTCAAACAGGAGTAGCCTGGGTGATGGAGGAAAATGAGTACAAAAAGATGTTCCAATTAGAGGGAACAGCCAGCGTACACCGAGAGTTAAAAGAGAGCAGTCAGATGTGGCTGATGCATTGTCTGAGATGGGGAAATGGAGAATGAAGCAGGGAACAGCTCCTGATAGCCATGCCTAGGACCCGGTATTCAACAACTAACACATCACCTCCTCCATGGTCCATAGATGCCTTAAATTACTAGTCATTATCTTTCCAACCTATTCCCTATCCTATTTAATGGCACTACAATCAACCCAGATAATTAGATCTGTCTCCAAACACCAGAGAAAAAGGGATCAAGCAGAGAGTACAGGTGTCAGACGTTGGAAACCAGGTGGCAGGCCCTTGAAGTGGTAAGTGCTGAGAGAATAAGTCATGTGGTACTGACAGGATCCGCCACACTTCACAAGCCAGTGGATTCTCCATGTGTTGCTGTATTACTGATTATCTTTCCAAGATAAACTTAAATACCTAAGATGTTTGGTAGCAGTCTTTCATCAGCCTTTGATTTCACAAGTTGAGATACGTAATTTTATCCTTATCTTAGAAGCTTTTTCAAAGTTTGAATCCATGACATTACTGTTAGAACCAGGGTGGAAATGTTTTTCATGTCAATCTTATTACTTTTAAAAATCCTTTTATTATGAAAAATCTCAAATATACACAAAATCAAAGAGAAAAGCACAGTTGACCCTTGAACAAAACAGGAGTTAGGTGCGCTGACTCCCCAAAACTTTACTAATAGCCTATTGTTGACTGGACGCCTTACCAATAACGCACAAGTCGATGAACACATATTTTGTACATTGTATGTATTATATACTGCATTACAATAAAGTAAGCTAGAGAAAAGAAAATGTTAAGAAAATCATGAGAAAATATACTTACAGTATTTATTGAAAAAAATATACATGTAAGTGGATCCATGCAGTTCAAACTCATGTTGTTATGAGCGACTTGTGGCTAATCTTGGAAATGGCCTTTCCATAAATCTTAAATTCAGTTTCAATTAGCATTAAAAGGGCTGCTTTCTGCTCTCTATTCTTTTATTTTTAAATGTCACTAAGGCAAAACTATGAAGACAAAAGATCAGAGGTTGCCAAGGGTGGTGGTGAGGAGATGAACAACCAGAGCATAGATTTTTAGGGCAGTGAAGATAATCTGTATGATATTATAATGATGGATGTATGTCATTATATATTTCTCCAAACCCACAAAATGACCACCACCAAGAGTTAACACTAAGGTAAACAAACTATGGACTTTTGGGAGATCATGAGGTGTTAATGTAGGTTTCATCCTTGGAAAATATATATACCATTCTGGTGAAAGATGTTCATAATGGAGAAGGCTATGCATGTGTGAGGGCCAAGAATATATGGGAAATCTCTTTACTTTCCTCTTGGTTTTGTTGTAAACCTAAAACTGCTCTAAAAATAGTCTTAAAAAATAATCAGAAATTTTAATGTAACATGTCCCAGTAAAAGGAAAAAAACCACCTTTATTAACTTTCATCATTAATAAGGAGTGGTCTTAAAACAATTATATTGGCCAACTACTGTTGGAAAGAACAATTTAATAGCAACTATATGCAAAATATAATTATTTCACTTGACAAACACTGTCTTTGGTTAAAGTAGAATGCAAAATGATCTCATGTATGGGAAGTCATCCATGTGGCGAATGAGGGTTCTATTTTGCAGTTACCTTATCCTGGTCCAGGCATCTGTTTACATGTCTGTCTGCATGCAGTTGTCTTCAAACCAGGCACTTTGAGGAAGGGCCATACTGATCCTTAACACATGCCCTTACCATTCCTTAGGCCAAACTGACCTCATGCCTTTGGCACAGAGCTCTGAAGTGTTAAGTGAGTACTCGGTTCAAGTGTTTAAACAGACTAAAAAATCCTTTTTTGAGGAGATATTTGACTCAGACTGCAGGCATCCGTGTGGCCCAGCTTGATGTGGGAGTGGACATCGTGTCTGGGTGGGGATACATTCCTACAACCAGAGCCAACTGCTCCCCCCCACCCAACACCACCCCCGTTGCATGTCTACTGCAGAAATCATCTAAAATGGATCTTTCATCTTTGGCATACTGGAAGCTACTCTAAGTGGCATGGCACAGTGGAGAAAAAATACAGATTTTAAAGCCAGATTACTGGTTCTGCCACTTTCTATGTGACTTTAGACAAATACTCTTTTTAGGCTTCAGTTTCCTCATCTGCAAGATGGGGGCTGGTTTGCACAGGATTGTTGTGCAGATTCAGTTACTTTTGCAAAGTGCTTGGCGTATAGATTTTAAATAATTACTAATTTTCTTCTTGTTCTTTTATTTTCCTTCTCTTCTTTCTGAGCCATAAATAATAGCTTCCATTTATCGAGTGCTTACTGGGAGACAAGCACTGCATTAGCCATGTGTTATCCTGACCATATTCCCATGAGGTGCTGTATCATACCAACTGTATCAGTCTGCCAGGACAATCATAACAAAATACCAGCCTGGGTAGCTTAAACAATAGAACTTCATTTTCTCATAGCTCTGGAGGCTAGAAGTCCAAGATCAAGGTTTGGTTTCTCCTGAGGCCTCTTTTTGGCTTGTAGACAGCTGACTTCTCATTGTGTCCTCATGTGGCCTCTTCTCTGTGAGTGTGCATTCCAGGTGTGTCCCTCTTCTTATGAGACACCAGTCATACTGGATTAGGGCCACACTCTTATGGCCTCGTTTAACCTTAATTATCTTTTTTAAGGCCCTACCTCCAAGTGCAGTCACATTGAGAGCTAGGGCTTCAACATGGAAATTTGGGAAAACACAATTCAGCCCATAACACCCATTTTCCATGTATTGAGAGGAACTTGCCTTAGGTTGCACAGCTATTAAGTGGCAGACAATTAAAAAGCTACTGAATTCAGAACCCAAGCCCTTTCTACTCTGTCCCAAAGCTTGACCACCGGCATGGTTGTTATGAGGCAGAGCTTAGTATGAGAACCTGGAGGGACTTAAAAATAGTTGGCTCCTTTAGCTCATCACAGAATTCAACTATGAATCAGCTCTAATTGACCATTTGCCAGGTATTCTTGAAATAGCTGTATTTTTCCAGTAAGATTATCAATATTTATTTCAAAGAAAAGAAATTTTCCCTGGCTCTTCTATAAATCTCTGAAACTTATAATGGAAAAAATCCTTTTAGAAACCACATGGAAGGACTAAAGTTTGATTATTACATTCTTTAAGAATGATTATATACATGTGTTTTTGCTTAAGATTCAAAGTTTACAAAACTGCTTCAAAATACTGTAACAATACCATGTAGTTTCATGGAAAGCACGTCACTTTCCTTTTTGTATCTTTGCAAAGGGTCAAAAGACCAGACACAAAGTGTTATACTTCCAAGGTTATCATCAGTGACTGACTTGGGCTCCCATACCTAAGAAAAATCCTCCAAGATACATATATTCAGTCATGTACAGTTCTAGAATTTCACAAAAATCAAAATGAAAAATCTAGAAAGAAGAGCGAGCCCAGACAAGGTAGTCCTACCACCAATTTGTAGC